TAGATTGCCCAACCTTCCTTCCAAGGAGTGGCTGGTGGGTTTGAACCGCCAGCCTTCTGGTTAGCAGTCAAATGCCTTAGGCACTATGCCACCAGACCACCTAACAAGGCTCTTTAGAGAGGTGATAATGAGAGTTGAGAAACACTGCATTAGACAATCAACGTATACAATAAAAAATTTAAAAGTCTATTTAAGAAAGGGTCCAATAAAATTTTTAATTCAATGAGGCTATCAAAATTTAAAGCAGTCTGGTGGTGCAGTAGTTAAAGCATTCATGTAATTGAAAAGTCAAGGGTTTGAACCCTGCAGCCACTCTGCAGGAGAAAGACGTAGCAGTCCGCTTCCATAAAAATTTACAGCCTTGGAAACCCTTTGGGGCAATTATTTTCTGTTCTATACTGTGGCTATGAGTTAGAATTGACTTGACGGCAGTGAAGTGGGCACAAAATTTGTAATGAAAGCTATAAATTAAATATGAAATTCATCACAATAAGGAATAATTTGCTTTAAAGGCACATAAGAATTAATGACGATTATGATGAAAAAGAAGCTTTAAACTGTATTATTATTTAAATATATTTTATGTTGTTTGTCATATAATCATGCATTTCATGTGAAAATTAGAATTGAAAAGTTAGAAAATACATTTGGACTGAGCTTTAATATTACATACTATATCTATTTTAAGAAGATCCTTTGTAAAATATAATTTTATTGTGTATTTTCTTAAATATAAAAAAATGAAAATAAAATCATGCATAATTCTGTCATCAAAAGTAACCTTTTGGTCACTTTCTATGTATATAATTGAACCCATTCAATAAAATACAATAAATAGACATAACATATACAAAGTATATATGCAATTTCACATTTCTTTTTTTTTATTGTGTTTTAGGTGCAAGTTTACAGAGCAGTTTGTTTTACATTCATTATGTGTACATTTAGTTTCACTTGCAATTTCACATTATGTCTTAAGAAATTTCTCATTTCATAATATCTTTTCAAAAATAATTGTAAAAGATACTATTTGATTGTATAAAAACAAAAACCCAAATCTGCTGCATCAGTTCTGACTCATAGTGACCCCATAGGGAAGAGTAGAACTGACTTATAGAGTTTCCAAGGTGGTAATATTTACTGGAGTAGACTACTACATCTTTCTCAAGTAGAGTGGCTGGTAGTTTAGAACAGCCCACCTTTTGATTTGCATAAGAGTGCCTTAAACACTGCATCACCATGGCTCCAAGATTTTATGGTATAATAACCTATTCCTCTATCATTGACTATTTAGGTCTTGTGGTATTTTGCCTTGTTTTAAATAATGCTATATAATGAGCATTTTGTGCTGAAATCTTTGTTGGCATTACAAATAATTTACTTGGGATTTCCTGAGCTAAAGGGTATAAATATTTTTAAAGCTTTTGACATCTTCTGTTTTTCAGAAATATAGGATAGTATTAATCACACTCCTGTTAACTAAGAATGAGAATGAAGATTCAACTAGACATCTCCAGCACTGGGTCACATTTTTGGTAGTGATCAGAGAGCTTGACTTGTGGCTACTTGATGGTTAACAAGATGCTGCTAGAATATGCAGGATGTCACACCAAGGACTTAATGTTTGAATCCCATGGAAGTGACCATCATTTAGTTGTGATGCTCCCCAAAATAAAGTTCTTTATTAATGGGTAAACATTGGTACACAAACTTCCAAGCCATTTAATTCTAGAATGCATAAAATGTTAAAACTAAAAAAAAGAAAAAAAAATTCTAACATTTATCTGCATATTTTTAACAATATCATGTATATGGTAATTGAATTAGTAAGGTAAGGATTTTCAAAGATTATTAGTAAAGAACAAAGAATAATACAAATTCTTCACCAGATCAAATTGGGGATAAAATTCTTCTAGAAAACTAAAACACATATTCTTTGGTGCTGAGGTTTCAAAATGTTAAATTTCACATGAAATATGTTACATATAAAAAAGATAGAACATTAAATATTTTAAGAGAGTAGGTTTTGGTATGTTAAACTGAATAACTCATTAGAAAACATTTGATAAAATATTTTTATTAGAAAAAGATTATTTTAGTTAAGCACAGAAACCATGTGGAAAATCTAAAATTCTGTAACAAGAATGAATGATTATTGCTCCATACAGCCAACCATTTAACCTATCAAAATGTTTTTCAATTTACCTATTTTAAATTAGTCTGAATTCAACATGTTACTCCTCCCAACTCTGAGGTATCAGCTGATTAAAGCTGATATTAAGGCAGTGATTATAGCTGGTATTAAGGCAGTGATTTCCAGAGTATTTTATACTTCATCATTACTTTTGTACTTGGATATATTTCATTACTTCATTAATTAATAGTAAAGTAGGAAATAAAGCATCGACATACCCACTACTCAGCTTAAGAAATAAAACCATTGCAGACATAATTACATCTATCTGCTTGCCTTTCCTTTCATTTCTGTTCTTCTGCTCATCAAAAGGCAGGTTCCAAAAGTGTGGTTTCTCCAACCAGCATCATCAGCCATGAGCTTGCTGGAAGTGTCAGTTTTTTGGATTCACCCCAGGCATAGTGAACTAGACGTTTTAGGAGCTGAGTCCAGCCATCCATGTCTTAACAAGCCCTCCAGGTGATTCTGATACACACTCAGGTTTTAGAACCATTGCCCTAGGCATAATGACTAGGCTGAATTTGGTTCTTAACAAATTATATAAGAAGACCAGACATTAGTGAGCAAAGAGTCTATTTCAAGAAATTAGAAAAAGAAAAGTATGTTAACAAAAATAGATTAGAAGGAAAATTATTTAAATTAGATCAAAGCAAAATTTAATATAATTAAAAAAACAGACAATAGAGACAATCAACAAAACCAAAAGTAGATTCTTTGGAAAGAAAATTGTTATTTTAATAAATAATAAACTTTGGTAAGATTGGTGAAGGAAAAAAGGCACAAATAAACAATATAAGGAATCAGAAATATAAACATGTAAAACTATACATTTCTAAGTATTGTTTTAACTGTATTCCACATATTTTGATATTATCATTTTGTTCTAAGGTTTTATTAACTTACATTATGATTTTTTTTCTTTGATCTATGAGTTATTTATCAGTGTCTCAAATTTCTGGATATATGGATTTTAAAAAAAAAACAACTTTGTTTTGTTTTTAATTTCTAACTTCATTGTATTCAGGGAACATAAATTGATTCTTTGGTTAAGACTTGCTTGGTTTTCCAGTATGTAATCAATCTTTGAAATGTTCCTTATATATAAATAGAATGTGTCTTTTGTAACTTTTGGGTGCAGGATTATAAAACTCTCCATAAACTCAAATATGATAATTGGGTTGTTCAAATGTTCTATAACTATTAATTTTTTGTCTGTTTGACCGATTACGGAGAGAGGTAGTTTTAAATCTTCCATGGTAATTGTGGATTCACCCATTTCTCACTGTAAATTTGTCAGTTTTTGTCTTATTTTTTGATGCTTTTTAAGTTTAGACTTGTTTATCCTTTTTTCAGGCCCAATAGCTAGTCTAATTCCCAGTTCATTCTTGGTCGTTGGCTCCAAATTTAAAAAAGCCTTTGGACAAGGCTGTGGTCCTGGGAGGTTTACAAGTGATAAATAAAGGTGACTTCATTCCTGAGTATAATCTACTATACTTTATATGTAGCCTTATTACCTACTGCTGTAGAGTTGTATCCGACGCATAACGACCATTCCTTGGGTTTCTGAGACAGTATCACTATGGAAGTATATTGCCCAACCTGCCTTCTGAGGAGTGGCTGGTGGGTTTGAACCACCAGCCTTCTGGTTAGCAGTCAAATGCCTTAGGCACTATGCTACCAGAGCTCCTAGCCTTATATACATATTATATAATATTGCTCTTGGTGATGTATTTGGCTTTGATTACCTTATGTAAAGATCCGCTCAGAGCAGGTCAGTTGAGCTTCTGGAAGGTCTGATATGATCATCACCCACCTATATTTAATCTACAACCATCTAGTTAAAAATTGTCTTTTGCCTTTATCAAATTGTGAGTTTTGAACTTCCCAGGCCTGCATTTTTCCCCCCTCTCTGTGCTAATTAACAGAATTCTAGTTCTTATACTTGGAAATGCAAGTTGTCCTAATGAACACTTGTTAGAAAAAGAACCTCAGAAAAATGAGACTATTTTCCCTCTTTTTTTTTTTTTTTTTTTTTAATAAGCTGCTTAAGCATACTATTCTGCATCACAAAGCTATCTCTGATAAAGGGATAGGTTGAGAACATTTTTAAAACTATCAGTCTTCTGGCCAAACTTGAAATTTCTTTAAAATAGGCAACTCTCTTTTTTTCTTTTATAAAAATCACCCTTAAATGTTATTTATAAAAAACCAAACAGCAACAACAAACAATAAACCCTGGACTTCAGACATGGTTGTTATATCCTCTAAAATGTAATCTGTAGCCTCCAGAATGTCTGCCTGCCTTTCTAATCATTGCCTTGCTTGATAAATTGCTATCTACAAATATCATTTAAATTAACATCCCTGTTTTGCTGAAGATCTATATATTTTTAAGTTTTGTTGTCGTTGTTAGTCAAAAGATGTTTCTCCTTGGATTCTGTGTTCAAACAAAGGGTTTGAAGGGTTTTAAACTAACACCTGCTATAATTTTTTCATCCTCTTACTTTCAACAATTCTGTGTCCTTCTATTATTATTGTGACTATTGTAAACACCAAATAATTGCCATCGAATTGATTCTGACTCATAATGACCCTATAGGACAGAGGAGAACTGCCTCATAGGGTTTCTAAGGCTGCAAGTCTTTATGGAAGCAGATTGCCCCATCAGCTGGTGGGTTTGAACCACCAACTTTTTGGTTAGATGTTGAATGCTTTAACTTAAACACTGCACCATTAGAGCCCCTTAAACACCATATAGCTGAATTTTTAAAAATCCAATCAGATTTTTTTTAGGTGACAAGTTTAATACATTAACATTTTTTGTGATTACTAAAATATTGAAAGGGAGCTCTGGTGGCGTAGTGCCTGAGGCATTTGACTGCTACCCAGAAGGCTGGCAGTTCAAACCCACCAGCCACCCCTCAGAAGGAAGACTGGGCAATGCACTTCCAGAGAGCGCCTCAGAAACCCAAGGAGGGGTCATTATGATTCGGAATCGACTGGACAGCAGTGAGTTTGGTTTTATTTATTTATTTATTTATTTTTATTTTGGAACATACTGAAATAGTTTCTGTCATCTTATTTTGTGCTTTCTACCTACCCTGTTTTGCTTCCTTTTTTCTCCTCTCTTGTCTTCTTTTGAACTGTCCCCTCTTATGCCTTTGAACCGAAGGAAGATGGGGCAATCTACTTCCGTAGTGATACTGCCTTGGAAACCCAAGGAGGGGTCGCTATGAGTCGGGTCCAACTCGAGGGCACATAACAACAACAACAACATGGCTTTGAAAGTCATACATTCTTTTCTTATTATTTTGCCAGAAAGAAAATTCTTAGCCACAATCTCTTCAAATATAAGGAGCTCTGGTGGCATAGTGGGTAAGGCATTTGGCTGCTAGCCAGGAAGTTGGCGGTTCAAAGCCATCAGCTGCTCCACGGGAAGAATATGAAGCAATCTTCTTCTGTAAGGATTTACAGCCTTGGAAACCCAATGTGGGTCGCTGTGAGTCGGAATCAGCTTGATGGCAGTGGGTTTGATGTTTTGGTTTTATCTCTTCAAATAGTACCCCTCCCTCATCCTTTGGTTTCTTTCTATTCCATATATGTTGAATTTCCGGCTCTTTCCTCCATGTTAAAAACACCTTTTATATTTTCATTTCTTTATCTCTCTAAGCTATATTATGGGTGACTTTATCAGATTTCTCTGTCTCTTGCTTGTCTCATTTGCTATTTACCTCACCTATGGAATTTTATGTTTCAGTGACCATATTTTTAATTTCTAGAAGTTCTTTTTTTGATGTTATCTTATTCTTTTCTAATGTTTTTATGTTTTCTGTTATATATTTAATGATTTAAATATACTTTCTGGAGTCTGTTCTATTATTGAAATTCATAGGCATTCTGCTGCAATTATATGCTAACATTCACTAATGATCAACTGGTGTTTTTTGTAATTTGGATTATGAGTTCATCTAAGGTCTGAGTTGCAATGTATCCTCCAGAAAGGTTTTGTCTTTGTTTCTGTCAGGCTTCTGTTACCAGCCTAAGACCATTTTAAAATATAGTTTCTGAGAATTCCAATGTCATGCAGGTAGCTTAAATTCAAACACCTAAATGTCTTCAAGGAAGGCTGTGGTTGCTGATTCTCTAGGGAAATCTTTTTCTCCTACCTAAAGTCCAGACCAAAACTGACAAACTTCCATAAAAACAAACATCTTTTAATCTATACTTGTTTCCTAGGCAGTATCTTCTGGATCAAAGTTTCCATTATCATTTCTATGCCAGTGATTATCAGATTTTATGTATGCCTATTCTGATTCTCTTCTCTGAGTTCCAAACCCTACTATCCACTTAAATATCGAAACCCTACTGTTTACTTAAATATCAAAGGCACCACCTTAAACTCAACTAGTTTACAACTAGTCTACTACTAAGATCAGTAAAATTCATGACCTTCCCTTCAAATCTGGTTTTCTTCTCATGTTTTCTATCTCCATGAATAGTATGACTATACAGTTGTATATGCCAGAAATCCAGGAGCTAGCCTTGACATCCTTCTTCTCATTCCCCCATCCAACCTATTACCAAGCTATGTTAATTTTTCTGCTTAAATTGACCTTCTATTGTCCATCTCCACTGCTTTAACACTAGTCAAGCCACTATCATTTCTAGCCTGGATTGCTGCAGTTTACTCACATTTACTCTGCATCTCCTCCAATACCCTCTCTACACTACAGCCTGGGTGAACTTACCCCAACAAACACAAATAATTTTTTTTTCTTACTTGAAACCCTCATTCAATGGCTTCATATTTATGGGCTCTTAAATCCTTAACATGTTCTATTTGGCTCTGGATAGCTACCTCTCCAGCCTATTCTTATACCACATAGTCCTTCCCACCCTCACCATCTGTGCTCCAGCCACATTGGCCTTCACTGTGGTACCTGAGATCACAATCAACCATCCTGCGACACAGTTTTGGGATATTCTGTGTCCTTTTCCTGGAATGCTAGTTACCTTACTCCCAATCTTGTCAACACCTAACTCCTTCTTCATTTAAAGATTCTTTGTCTCAAAGAAGACTTCTTTGACCTCTCTCTCCATCCCAGTCTAGGTCAGCCTATTTTGTAATACACTTTCTTAGAACCCCATTCCTTTCTTTCAAGGCTTTTATTTTGGCTTACATTTTTCATTCATTATTGTAATTATTTGATTAATATCTGTCCTGGTACGTGTTGTTAACAACAACAACATGTTCTAGACTATGCTAGTATTCAGGATACTGGGAATGAGCAAGACTAGACAAGGTCCCTGATCTCACAAGGCTTGTCATGTACCAGGACAGATATTAATAAAAAAATCACAATAATGAATGAAAAATGTAAGCCAAAATAAAAGCCTTGAAAGAAAGGAATGGGGTTCTAAGAAAGTGTATTGCAAAATAGGCTGACCTAGACTGGGATGGAGAGAGAGGTCAAAGAAGTCTTCTTTGAGACAAAGAATGTTTAAATGAAGAAGGAGTTAGGTGTTGACAAGGCTAGAACATAGAAAACACTTAATAAATATTTATTAAATGAATAAATGACCATTTAAGCAACATTACTAAAAATATACATCTATTCATAATAATCCAAAGGGAATGAAGAAGTTGATAAAGGGAAAGAAAAAAAAAAAAATGACAGCTACGTGGGGGTTCATTATACTATTCTATTTGTCCATGTGCTTGAAATTTTCATAGAATTATTATACAACTTATTAAATAGGGTACTTCATTTCAATCTGTGGGTAAGAGGTGAACTTAATCTTAAAAATAAAGTAGCAGCTCTTTAGGATCAGACTGAAATATTTTATTTAATGAAAAAGAAATTATACTGACCTGAAGATATTTCTGTAATGGTTAATTGGACCACTTAATGCTCCAGGCTGAGAGAAAACATAAATATAAGCTTCAAGATCCTCTGTTGTCAGTCGACATCCTTTTCTTCCAATGCCAGTGCTGTGACTGGTAAAGAGATGTTTCAAAGCCTAATTTAAATGAAAAGGGAATTATTAACACTTTCCAGTTATCTAATATTAAACTAAATCCCTGGCTTTTGAAAGTGGATGAAGGACAGTGGGAAATGACAGCTCCCAATTTCTGCCCTAGTCAGGTAGGGTAGAGAGGACAGAGAAGCAAGTAAAACTCTTTTGAATGTACTTTTTTTAAGTTATCACTTGAAACCAAATATATGTTTTATATAAAATTACAGAAGTAAAAACCCTGTAGTCTTAAATTTGCTTTGGAAATACAAATGTGAATCCATGCTAAATTTTTCTTTCTAAACACACACACACATATGTATGTATGTCCAAATTTTGTGCTTGGAAAGACCTAGAAGCAATGCAAACCCAGGAACAATGATAACATTGACACCTGTATTAGGGTCTCCAAATATTATTTCTTACTAGAAAGAACCAGATTTGGGGCAGGAAATCAAAGATGTTGTTGATTGCCATTGAGTCAATTCTGACTCATGGCAACCCCATGTGTGTGGAGTAGAACTTCATCATAATGATTTCAAGGCTATGAACCTTTTCGAAATAGATCGATAGGCCTGTCTCCTTACATACTTCTAGGTGGGTAAGAAACACCAACTTAGTCAAGTGCTTAACTGTTCATGACACTTAGTGACCAGAAATAAAAGAGAAACCTGGGATATTAAGGAAGCAAGCTATCACAGACTAAGGCCTTGTGTCAGAAGGACATTGGAAGGGGTTTCCATTTGCCTAATATGGGACAATTTGGACATCAAAAAGAGTGTCTGTAATTGGTTGCTACATATCAAATATTTATTTTTAATTTTCAGCCTTGTAGCTTTACTTTATACACACACACACACACACACACGTATATTTGTGATTTGGGTGAAAGTTTTAAAAAATCATGAGCTCATAATGATATACAAAATAAACAAAAACTCTCCCTGAGAGTTCACTGGACATTTGTAGGGCACTAATTTATTACTCTAAAGTTGATTAATAAAGGGAAAGAATCAAGCATTTGTCCTGCTATTCTTGTGTGACCTATATTTTAGAATAACCAAATAGTAGATGTAGAAAAGTTCTTTATAGGAGAATTCCAGTTAATATAAGGAGAAAGAATGATGGAAAGAAAATCACCATTTTGCCCACCCTAATGAAATAATGATCCAGGCAACGATCATCAATGAATGCTAAAGTTTTTAGGGAATTTTGGATGGAACTAACAACTTGTGAGTTCACTGATCAGTGTTAGCATTACCTAATATTGGGATAACTAGTCATTATATAGGAGCTCTGGTAGCATAGTGCTTAAGGCACTTGACTGCCAACCAAGAAGGCTGGTGGTTCAAACCCACCAGCCACTCCTTGAAAGGAAGGTTGGGCAATCTACTTCCATAGTGATACTGTCTCGGAAACCCAAGGAGGGGTTGCTATGAGTCGGGTCCAACTTGATGGCAGATAACAACAACAAGGCATTATATGCTTTCTCATGTGATGCAACAGGAAATACACATTACTACCTATTAAGTTTTCTTGTCAAATTAACATTCAATGTAATCAAGCCTCTAGAGAAGCAACTCCTATGAAGTAAGAAAAACAGAGGTTAGATATATAAGTTAAATACTACCAAAAAAAAAAAAAGAAAGAAAGAAAGAAAACCAACAACTCACTGCAATCAAGTTGATTCCAACTCACAGCAACCCCCATTGGGTTTCCAAGGCAATAAATTTTTGTAGAAGCAGACTGCCTCATCTTCCTTCCACGGAGAAGCTGGTAGGTTCAAACCACTGATCTTTTGATTAACAGCCACATGCCTTAACCACTACACCACCATAGCTCCTTTAAATGCCACCATGATGAAATGATTACCAAATCCAAAATGTAGATTCCTCAGAGCACATGAGCAAACTTCTTCAATAAATAAGAGGTATTTAAAAAAAGGTGTGTGTTGGGGGATGCATAGAAAGGAAGGACAGTTATAAATTTAAAAAGCCATAACAACCAAATACAATGTGTGGAACTTGGTTGGTTCCTGATTCAGGTAAATAAACTGTACACAGAAAGGTGAGCCAGTTAAGGATATTTGAATATTAGATGGGTATATTAAGGAGCTCTGGTGGCACAGTGGTTAAAGCATTTGGCTGCTAACCAAAAGGTCAGCAGTTGGAACCCACCAGAGGCTCCACAAAAGAAAGATCAGGCAGTCTGCTTCTCTAAAGATTTAAAGCCTTGGAAACCTTATAGGGCAGTTCTACTCTGTCCTAAAAGGCTGCTATGTTTTGGAATTGACTTGATGGCAGAGGGTTGGTGGTTAACGATATTAAGGAATTGTTCGTTTAGTTAGGTTTGAAAATGGCATTGTGGTTATGTTGAAAAAAAAAAAAGTCCTTATCTGTCATAGATATACACAAAACAATTTTCAGGTAAAATGATAGTTTGTCTCGCATTTGATTTAAAATACTCCATTTAAAAAAATAAAAGATGTGGAGGAGGTCTCCAAATAGGACTACAAATAAGACTCAGTGAACCACACTGCCTGGTACATGTGCCTTTGAGTAGTTCCCTTCCACACTGAATTGGAGCTGGCCTGTGAGTCTCATTAACCAACAAAATAAAGCAGCAAAAGAAATGCTGTGCCAGTTTCTGCTTGATTTTAGGAGCCCTGAAGGAGCCTGGTAGTGTAATGGGTTAAGCTCTTGGCTGCTAACAAAAGGTCAGTGGTTCAAACCCACCAACCACTCTATAAGAGAAAGATGTGGCAGTCTGCTTCTGTAAAGATTACAGTCATGGAAACTCTATGGGACAATTCCACTCTATCCTATAGGGTTGCTATGAGTCAGAATCCACTTGATGACAATGTTTTTGTTTGTTTGTTTTTGAGCCACCATGTAGGAAATCAGGCTACCCAGCTGTAGAGATCACGTAGAGAGACCACATGGAAAGGCCACATGGAGAAGGAAGAGCCCCGAGACCATATAAAGACAGAAGGAAGCCAGCAGTTCCAGTTGTACTCATTGTCTAAGAGCCACATGAGCCATCCTGAACCCCAGAAAATGGCAGTCTCAATAGGTATGAAGTGGAGAACCACCCAGCTGAGCTCAGTTAACCCACAGAAAGGCAAAAGATAATGAAATGGTTGTCATTTTAAGACAGTAAGTTTTGGAGTGCTTTGCTATACAGGAATAAATAATTGAAACAGAGGGAGGAATTAAACAAGATCAGAAAAATATTGAACACTGTTGAAGTTGGATGATGGTTATATGAGAATTAATTATTCTATTTTCTTTGGACTGTATTTTAAATTTTCCACAATAATCAAAACTCACTGCCATCAAGTTAATTCCAACTCATAGTGACCCTACAGGACAGAATAGAACTGTCCTTTAGTGTAGTGCCTAAGGCACTTGACTGCTAACCAGAAGGCTGGCGGTTCAAACCCACCAGCCACTCCTCAGAAAGAAGATGGGACAATCTACTTCCGTAGTGATACTGCCTCGGAAACCCAAGGAGCGATCACTATGAGTCGGGTCCGATTTGATGGCACACAACAACAACAACAACATAACGTCTTCTAGGCTATAAATCTTTACGGAAGCAGACTGCCTCATCTTGGTCCTATGGGTTAGAACCACCAACCTTTTGGTTAGCAGCTGAATGATTTAACCACTATGCCACCAGAGCATCTCTTTCCATAATAAAAAGTTTAAAATAAAATTCCTGGGCCCCACCCCAATCTTCTTAAAGATCAGAATGTCACATCTATCAAGGATTAATAATATTTATTTTTAATAAATAGCCCAGGTGATTTTTACATACATTAAAGTGAGAATCACTGCTCATTCTCTGTCATACACCCTAGCCCTTGGTTGTGCTAACCATACTGTTTCAATGTCTCACTTTTTCCCCAGGATTGTATAACTTCCTGTTAGGGTAGGTACCATGACTCCTTTTTAACCTCCGCCACTATGTAAGGTGTCAGTAGTGGTTCAATGGTAGAATTCTTGCCTTCCATGAGAGTGTTGAAGGTTTGATTCCAAGTCACAGCACCTCATGCACAACCACTGTGGAGGCTTGAGTGTTATTATGATGCTGAACAAGTTTCAGCAAGCTTCCAGACTAAGGCAGGCTGGGAAGAAAGACCTGATGATCTACTTCTGAAAATCAGCCAATGAAAATCCTATGGATCACAGTTGTATGATTCATGGCTAATCATGGGGATGGTTCAGGACAGTGTTTCATTCTGTTGTGCAGAGTTGAGAGCCAACTCAATGGTAGCTAACAACAATAAATATCTAAGATAATTTTGAACATACAAGAACCATTTAGTAAGTTTACAAAAAACAGATACATGTATATGGCTCCTGATGTCAGTGTATACAGTGCCCAGTATACACAGGAAGTATTGCATGCTTACTTTGTTTGGGGGTTTTGTTTACTTTCATGGGCTTTCACCTCTGCCACTGTTGGATTCTCTTACCTGGCATTCATATTCATTCATCTCCCCATTTGAGATATACCTATGGGACATAGGCTGAACAATAGTTACTTGTATGCCCTACAGGTAAGGATTTGAAAGAATTTATTATGTTTTAACATTTAAACATTTTTCTTTCTTAAGGGTGAACTTTAAAATATTTTTCATCGATAATACGTTATTTGTTTGACTTACCTTGAAATCATTTATTGAGAACATAAATTCTGGGAACCATGGTATTTGGAAGAAGTAGTAATAGCTGGATTTGAATAGCTGGGCAGGGTGTCGTAAAATATATTCTGAAATTAAAATGCTGTGTTAGACCTTATCCAAGGGGTATAAATTACTTAATAGCGAAAGATCTTTTTAAAGGCCATTTCACCTTTAAGATGATCCCATAAAAGAATCTGAAAGTAAAGTTTCTGTATATTTCTCTTTTGAAAATTTTTTATGTTCTTATATTTGAATATGTGTATTTCTGGTGTTCAGAAAATTTACAGCTCTTTAAACAATAAAGAAAGTTGCACTTCATGAAGTCTTGACTCAGGAGAGAACAGGAAACCCAAGCAACACTGCCTTTCCTCCAAGGTCAATTTCATTGAACTAACACTTTGCCTGGTGCAAATGGTTAATGAGCCTGGTTGCTAACTAAAAGGCTGGAGGTTCATGTCCACCAAGAGGCACCTTGAAAAAAGGCCTGGAGAATTACTTCCAAAAAATCATACATTGAAAACCATATGGAGCACAGTTTTACTCTGACACACATGGGTTCACTGTGAGTAGGAATTGACTTGATGGCAACTAGTGGTGGTAATGCTTTCCCAAGAAACACATGGAGGTAATTTTCTGTTATTTAAAAGGGTTTCTTTATAGGCTGATTTGAATTGGACACCTTATTAATTTGACTTCAATAGCAACTAAAATGTTTCCTATAAATTTAGTCATGTATACTGAAATTGAAAATTCATTCATTCAGTGAATATCTGAGTATCTACTGTGTGCTTGGAGATTTAGCAGTGAACAAGATAGAAAAAGTCCCCACTAACAAGGAACTAAAACAATAAATAAGCAACAAATTCTTAAAAGGTCATTTTACATAGCAATAATACTATAAAGAAAATAAAACGAAGTAATCTGGTGGAGAGTGATGGTGCTATGGTGTGGAAGGACCTTTATCTAGTAGAGGTGTTCAGAGAAGGCCTCTCTGGGAGGTGATAGGTGAACTGAATTCTGAATGGTAAGAGGGAATTAGCCATGTAAAGATGGAAAACGAGTAAGAACAGCAAGAAGGAAGTACAAAGATCCTGGATTTGGCACATTCAAGAACCAGAAGGAAGGCCAGTGTGGCTGGTGTTTAGTGAAGGAGGGGGAAATGGTATGAAACAAGTTATAAAGAAAAGCGAAGACTGATCATTTAGGGCTGGAATGGTAAAGATTTTATCTAAAGTGCTTTGGGATACCACTGAGGTTTTATACTAGGGAGCAATGTGATCTGGCATACATATTAAAAATGTGTACTTGCTGAAGATTCTACCAAACATTCAGAGAAGAGTTGAAACCAATCCTATTCAATCTCTTCATAAACAGAAGAGAGGAAGGAACATGACCTAACTCTTTATATGAAGCCAGCATAACCTTGATACCTAAACCAGGCAAAAACATCACAAAAATAAAAGAAAATTGCAGACTAATATCCTTTATGAACATAGATGCAAAACTTTTCAACAAAATTCTAACCAACAGACTTAAGCAACATATCAAAAAAAATCATACATCATGATCAAGTGGGATTCATACCAGGATTACAAGGATGGTTCAACATTAGAAAATCAATCAATGGAATCTAGCACCAAATAAAATAAAGGAAAAGAACCATATGCTCTTATCAATTGGTGAAGAAAAGGCATTCAAAAATTCCCTTTCCTGATAAAAACTCTCAGCAAAATAGGAATAGAAGGGAAATTTCTCAACATAATTAAGGGCACATATGTGAAACCAATAGCCAACATCATACTCAACAGAGAAAGGCTGAGACCCTTCCCTTTCAGGGTGAGAAAGACACAAGGATGCCCATTCTCACTATTCTTATTCAATACTGTACTGGAAATTCTAGCTAGAGCAATAAGAAAAGAAAGAGAAATAAAGTGTCCAAATCTTCTAGAGCTGGTGCTATGAATTCTGACTTCTAGCCTCCTAAACTGTGAGAGAACAAGTTTCTGCTTTTTAAAGCCATCCACTTGTGGTCTTTCTGTTAAAGCAGTACTAGATAATTAAGACAAAATCTGGTACCAGAAGAGTGAGGTGCTGCTCTAACAGATTACCTAAAACGTGGATGGGTTTTGGAATTTGGTAATAAGTACAGGCTGGAAGAGTTTTAAGATGCCTAATAGTAAAAGCAGGAGCTCTGGCAGCGTAGTGCCTAAGGCACTTGATTGCTAACCAGAAGGCTGGTGGTTGAAACCCACCAGCCACTCCTCAGAAGGAAGGTTGGGCAATCTACTTCCGCAGTGATACTGCCTTGGAAACCCAAGGAGGGGTCGCTATGAGTTGGGTCTGACTCGACAGCACATAACAACAACAACAATAGTAAAAGCTTAGATTGCCTTGAAGAGACTGTTGGTGGGATTTATCAAAGGCAATTGTGATCAGGGCTCAGAAGGAAATGAGGAGAGCTGTAACATCAGTGGCAACACAGATGGCAAGAAGCAGTGGCAGAGAAACAGAAGCAATGCAATCAGGAGATTGGCACCAGACTACGTGGAAACTGACCCACGGAGCGAGAGAGCTGAATGCGTTCAGGCAGGAGGCTTCCTGGTGAAATGGGGTGCCTCTGGATACTTATCAGTAGAGTTAAAGAACTTTATAACACTTGCTCAAGCAGGGCAGAGACCAGGCAAGCCCAAGAGGCCTGAGGGGCTGAGAGGCAAAGAGGCCACAGAACCAGAAAGAAGATGCTGAAAAGACAAGGAGCAAGGGAAGCACAGTTACCTTGATTTCAAAAGGTAGGGCATGGCCTCTGGGATTTCAAAGTGTGCAATCACCATAGCCTGCTGAGTTTTGAAGGGTGGGACCACAGGTTTCAAAGAGTCAGATCTTAACCAACTGGGTTCTGGAATGTGGGGCTACTGTTCATGAGTGCCAAGGAGATAGGGCTAGATCTTTTTGTCCAAAGCTGAGAGTGTGAGCTTCCATGCCCCAGGGGCAGAAACAGGCCTTGCCTAGGCCAAGGAGGTGAGAAGAACTTAGTAGGACCAGGAGACTGGAGCTTGTTAAAGCCATACATTTGTAATAGTAGCTGAGGCAATAGATGCATCCCAATGGGCCTAGAAGGCATATCTGAAGCCCAGGGCCAAGTAGCCTCCACCCAAGGTCCTGAGATCACGGCTAACACTATAGATGGGCCACTGTCTAAATGGTGTCAGAGAACAGAAGATTATTTTCAAGCCTTGAGAGCTAATATAAATTGTTCTGCTGGGTGTTTGACTTGGTGGTAACAGTTATCCCTTCTTTCCCTCCAATTTCTCCCATTTGTAATGGAAAAGTCTACTTTTGCCTATTCCACCATTGTACTTTGGAAGCAGATAACTTGTATCCTAGATTTGACAGGTTCACAGATGATCAGGAATTTTGCCCCAGGATAGAATTTAGCTTAGATCTGATTTAAGACTTTTGGGAATGATATGATCGGGTGAAAGTGTTTTGCATGCGGCAAGGACATGAATTTTTGGGAGCCAAACGGTGGAATGTTATGGATTGAAGTGTGTCCCCCCAAAATATGTGTCAACTTGGTAAGGCCATGATTCTCAATATTATGTAGTTATCCTCCATTTTGTGCTCTGATGTAATTAATTATCCTATGTGTGCAGCAAGCGGGAAGAGCAGGAGAAAGGGGATTAAAAGCCAGGAAGCCAGAGAGAAGAGCAGTCAGCCGAAGGGATAGGTGAGGAGAGG